CATTTTTACTATACACACACACACACCCCACAGAAAATATATAAAGTTGTCTCTGAATAGTAAGTGTAATAACATGTTCTGCTGTCTCATTTTAGCCACTATGAAGACAATTCTGTACCACTGTATCCTGTAATTTTAATTTGAAATTATTTTAGACACTGTACATAATTTAAACTCTTATTTGTATCTCTAATATGAACCATTCATTTGGTACCTTCAGTGAGATATAATCTTGCATTTATGATTAGCTTCTAAAACTAACAAATTTCCTTCAAATTTAAGTAGCAGCAATAAAGACAGGCTTTAATCCATGTTATGATATTGAACTTACAAAATCAGATTCTTCAGATCAGAGGAATAGTTGATTGTCACCAGTTCCATAGCTTTCTGCAAATTTTCTCTCTGAATTCCTGACAAAGAATTGCAAGCCAACGCCAACACAACTTTCCCTAGTGAGATCAGATCTGCTTGCTAATAGAAAAACAAAACAACTTTATTATAGCACTTTGAGAAAGGAGACAGTATTTGCAATAGTTTTTTTTTAGAGTATCTAAAATTAGTACTTTTTAAAGTCCACATACTTTATCGATAGAATTTTTCAAGATACATTTAGAGTGCACAAAACAGAAGTTTGAGTAGCAACTGGTTGGAATTACATGCATCATTAACAACACTTAGCATCTAACAGTCTATTTCTATTTTGCAAATTAAATTTTAACAAATAGAATTCTGCCTTGGCTCCATCTCGAGTAGGAAGAGATCAGATCCTCTCGTGAAGATCAGAAGCTTTAGAGAAAAGAAACTCCTTTCTTTTTAGTCACCCACTCCACATCTACCCTAGCAGAGTGAATGAACTGGTGACAAAGTGGACAAGTCTTACAGCTATAACTTTCTGGATGATTTATTATAAGTTATTTGTTATACCAATAACATCCTCTCGTGAATGTGGTTTTTAAGTGAGGCAGTAAAACAGCAAAGCCATGGTATTCTGCATATAACATAAGTGCACCTACATCAATTGTCTTGTTAGGCAGTGTGGAAAATAGTAAATTAAGACAAGACAGAGCTTTAAGGATTAAGGGAAGCCCTCAAATATATGTTTTATTCATTTCATTACAATTGGTCAAGAATTTGTTGGCAGGTTTCAGTGATCTTTCAGTCTGAACTGTGAGCATTTCTATATAATTAGAGAATCTCCAGACAGAACACATTAGCTTTACGAGATACAATAAACATTGGTATACCCTAAGCAACCTGGGAAAAAGAAGTATGACTTATACGAACAAAAGGGATTGGGAAGTTACTTACCTGTATAGAAATGGATAATCTTTGATATATGTGTATTTGTATGCATATTCCTCGTTAGTTGAATGCACATCTAGTGCGCGTGCATCAGAAACTTTCTAGGTACAGACTAACTTGGCTACCTCCTGAAGCTGTCTAGTCAGAAGCATTCATGGGGCAGCACAAGGGCAGTGAGGGTACATGTGCATCTTGCAACCCCACTGAGCCCAGTTCCTTTACAACTACCTGGCATCAAGACTCTGTAGCGAGGATAGTGGGTGGGATGTGAAATATGGACCACACATCTCAAAGAACATTCATTACCATATAGGCCATTAACCATTTTCTTCCTCAAGTGATAGCCCACATACATTTTCCATGTCAAGTGGACTCCCTAGCAGTAGCTCCTAGAAGGGCTGTTACGAGTATCTGTAAAAATAGATTTCAAACAGACCTTCTAAATCTTGTATCCCAACCCCCTGCTTGCCTTGTATCACCCCCTGCTTGCACTCATGCATAATGTTTTGTGAATGGATGGATGATCAAGTTGCTGCTCCATAAATATCCCAAGTAAAAAGGGGAACAAAAGGAGTCAGAGGTGGACTGAGCTCTGGTGGGCTGGGTATGCACCGGTTGGGCACTTACAAGACTACCAATTGGTAGCATGATATGAGATGGTTTGTCCTTTTGCACAGACAAGACAAAAAAACCACAAAGTGATTTTGGGAAGGATTTTATCCTAGTCAAGTAGAATAAAACAGCTCTGCATACATTTACAGTGCACAGTTTGCTCTGCTCTGGTTTGTCCATGTGAGACTTGGGGAAGAATAAGTGGATAGTTTCATTAATGTGAAATTCAGACACTATCTTAGGAAGAAATATGGGATGTAGTTTAAAAGACTCTGTCCTTATGAATGATGGTACAACATTCTTCTGCCATCAAGATCTGCAGTTTCCTAACTCTCTTGGAAGATGCAATTGTTAAGAGGAAGGCCGCTATCATGGAAAAGTAGAATAAAGTGTATGCAGCTATTAGTTGAATGGATGTCCATAAACTCTGAAAAGGCCAAAATGAGATCCCAAGTTGAGATTGCTTCAATATATGATAAAGAAGCTTCTTAACGGTCAAGTGGTAGAGAACTGGTCAATAGGTAAACTGCACTCCAGCAATGGTTGCAAGGTGTGACCATAACTAGGGCACATCTACACTGCCAGGCTAAAGCTGAAATAAGCTACGCAATTTGAGCTACGTCACTTGCGTAGCTTAATTTGAAATAGCTTATTTTGACTTTTGGCGCTGTCTACACAGTAGAAAGTCTGAGAAAGCGCACTCTTCCTCCAACTTCCCTTACTCTTCATAAAATGAGGGCTACAGGAAGCAGAGTAAGAAGTCCTCCAGCTCCCCATTATTTTGGCATTATGTCAAAATAACTGCTTGTAGCATAGACACGGATAATATTATTTTGGAACAACAGCAGTTATTCTGAAATAACGCTGCTATGTAGACATAGCCCTAGGGACCAGAGTTCTTCAGATCTACAGGGTAGTCAGAATCTCTTGTATTCTGGAGTGTATAGGGGCATATGACTTAATTGTTAAAGAAGTTCATTTAGAGAGATAGTGGGATCTGGTGCAATCTTCTTCCTATTAATAAAGATGCTCAGGACTTCCTGCAAGTTGACCAACTCTACCAGCATCAACTAGCAAGCATCCACAATGTCAAGTGGTAAGAGTACTGTTTCTGATGCAAGACTGTGCCCCCACTGCAGACTAGAAGGTTGGGGATCAAGAATAGGAGAATTGAGGATAACTGTGAGGTTGTGGAGGTTCCTGTAACACGTATGCCTGGGCCCTAACAGGACTATTAGGATAACCTTGGATTTCTCTTGTTTCATCTCCCACAAAGTCTTTAGAAGCAGAGGAATGGGAGGGAATGCATACAAAAGTCAGAGGAGGAGAAGGACCTGCCCTGGATGTGGTCTCCTCATGGACAAAAATGGTGACACTTGTTCTCTACAATCACAAAGATGTGTGGGGAGTCCCCCAAAGGCAAAAAGATGTCTTGAAAGATACCCTTATGAAATGGCCACTGCTGGTTATCACAGAAGACTATGTTCGGGCTATCTGTCCTCACGTTATTGGCCCTCAGAAATGATCCGAGTGTTGGGTTCTGGACTTCCAATACTCCGGTCATCTGAAGAAGTGAGCTGTGCCCACAAAAGCTCATGATACCATCTACATGTTCTGTTAGTCTTTAAAGTGCTACCAGACTATTTCTTGTTTTTTAAGTTTTTCGTATTACAGACTAATTCAGCTATCCCTCTGAAACTTCTGAGTAGTCATGAATGTTTGGAAGGAATGCTATGCATGCTCTAAATACAACCTGAATTCTAACATTGATAAGCAAAGCCATTTTTCTATAGTAGAGCACAGACCTCAAACCTCAAAGTTGTCCGTGTATATGGCTCATCATATGTTACACTGTTTTTTCCACCAATCCAGAGACTGGAGGTTTGTGGAGGGAGATGCTTTAGTTTTTCTAGGTAGTGTCTTTTTGGAAGGTAAACCAAGTCTGAAGTGACCAAACATGATCCTTGTGTATAGAACAAATATAGACGACGACTGCCATGAGACCTAGGAGCCCGAGGCAGATCTTTATCCATGTGAGGGGGCAAAACAGGAGGTGAAAGCAAAGATCATGTATAGCTCGGAACCTATCAGACAGAAGGTAAACTGTTGCTGTGTCTAGCCCCAAAGGTTAAATGAGGGTTAATGTGGATTTTTTCCCTTTGATCTGAGATTGCAATTGGACAAAGGCCAGCCAACCCTTGAGCATGAATGGAAAGACTTGGATGCCAGTCCTTCTCAGATGACTTGCTATTACTACAAGGCACTTGCTGAAAATTCAGGGCACTGTAGATGGCAAGACGTGGTACTGATAATGTTTGTGGTCTAACACAAAACTCAGGAAGTTTTAGTAAGCGAGTTGAATTGCAATATGGAAGTATATATCCTTGAGCTGAGGGCAGCATACCTGTCTTTTTGGTAGAGGAAAGGAATGATGGATGTGAGAACAGCAGCTTGAGTGTGGGCTTCGTGATAATGAGTGTTGAGAGCTCTGAGATCTAGAACTGGATAAAAGCCCCCTCACTTGTCGGGTATAAGAAAATATCTTGAATATAATTCCTTTCCCCTGTGTTGCATGGGAAATTTTTGTACCTGGAGGCAAAAGAGGCTGAACTCACTATAGAAGCAGGAACTTGTGGGAGAAGAATTGGACAGCATAGCCTCTCTGGACTATCTCCAAAACCCAACAGTCTGAGGTGATGTTGGACCAGGTCTGTTGGAAGAGAGCCAGGCTATTGCTGAACATAAGATAGGGCAGAGATTAGACATTTTAAATGGTTAACTAGTAAGAATAAAGGCTTATTCATATACCAGTTAACCTGTCCTTGCCATTTAACTCCAGCAGTGGTATTCCAAAGCTGCTGCAAAGCCAGGTGACGGGACCTAGGTTAAAACAGTTAATCAGTTAACTGTTTTAACATCCCTAGCAGAGAGCACAGACTAATTGATGTCCAAATATGCTCTCTGGCCGGGGCCAAGGCAGGGAGATGTGATTAAGAGGAAGGACCCTCGGAATTTTTCCTCCTCAAGACCTACCATCTGTGTCCCTAGAGTTCAGGAGATGTGAACAGGAAAAAGGATTCTCTTTACTCTGGAATTATGTTACATGCAAGAAAGCCTGCAGAACAGTTCTGGTCACCCTAAGTCCCTCAGCCAGAACAGTCTGAAAATAATGTCAAGTCCTAAGGAAACTTGCCACACTTTAGAACACATCAGTTCATATGGTCACAGTTTGCTGATATTGCATAGTAATTCCAGATCTTCATCTTTTTATTGCCTAGATCCATAATTTTGTAAAAATAAAAGCTAACAGATTTGTTCAACAAGACCGATCTTCCAGATAAACAAGTTGAGTGGCACTGGTTTTCAACAAAGAATTAGAAGCTAAAAATAGTCCCAATTTAACCTTTTGATTATTTTCCCCAGGCCTGAGGTCAAGTTAACCAGTGTATAGTTCCCTGAGCCACCCCTTTCACCCTTTTTAAATACCAAAATTACACTGGCAGACCTCCAATTCTTACAAGTTTCCATACTTTTCCAAGATTTGTTAAAAGTTAATATTAATGATTCAGAGAACTTTTAACATATATAAGTCTTAAAGGAACTAACTGGTTTGGGCCTATTGATTCGAAAATGGTTTTATTTGAGTAGATGGCTGCATCACACCCTCCTTTGTTACAGATGGCAAACTTTCAATTCTATCCACATCATATCAGATGAATATATCCTCCCACTTTGCTCCAATTACAGAATGGAAATCTCTGTTGAACATTTCTACACTTTCTATATCACTATTTACATCTAGCAATGTACTTGACCTAAGGTTTTTTGTTCCTAATATGTTAAAAAAACCTTCTTGACTTCATTCGTAGTCATAATCAAAATATTTAATTGATTCTTTTAGTTTCCTTTATCAGTTGTCTATACTTTTTAATTTATAAACTTAGTATTGTGTGCAACACGCTATTCATGTGTGAAAGACTAGGGACTAAGAAAATCAGACCACAAAAACCAAAGAATTCCTCTCTCATAGGCTTCTCTTTCAGATGCTAGTCTCCTCTCTTTCTTATCTGTGTGCACTACAATATATAGCCAGAAAGTGACAAAAATACCATCAGCCACTGAAGTGGGAAGTAAGAAAATGCATACTGGCTGGGTGGTAAGACAACAGGTAATTTTAAAATTTTTTAAAGAGACAAATGTCCCAGTGGGTTTCAGGGCTGAGAGGGGAAATAGAAAGGAAGTGGCCATTCTATAATTTTCTTTGTTTCAGGAAATGAACGGTAAGGGATAACCGGGAATCCTAAATAAAATTGCTAATAACTCTTATGATAGGGGTGGATAGGCAAATAGAGACCTTACAGCCTCACCTGCTCAGAAGAGTGAAAATAAAATGAATTCTGAACTACACTAAGATGGAAACTCAGTCTTTGTGCTCTGAAAATGCAAAGGGGGGCAAAAAGGGTGTAAAGAGAAAATTTCAGATACCTTCTGCACTGATCACCTAACTTCACTTTTCTGCATCAGAAATACAGTAGGAGTACCTTGAGGCTAAAAGGGTTCTAAAAGAAATGCCAGTAAGGCAACTCTTCTCTACCAACATTCTGAAGCTACTGGGCAATTAGCCATAAGTTGAAAGCAGTGCTTGTGCAGCAGGTTCATGAGACAGGGTGTTTTTGAAGAAAAACTAAAGAGTTAGAGTAAAAAGGGCTGACTGGATAATCAATTTTATTAGTCATTTCTTTTCTGCTAACTGATTACAAAACACATAGGCTGCCTCTAGACTGGCAAGTTTTTCCGCAAAAACAGCTGCTTTTGTGGAAAAACTTGCCAGCTGTCTACACTGTCCGCTTGAATTTCCACAAGAACACTGACTTCCTACTGTCTGAAATCAGTGCTTCTTGCAGAAATACTATGCTGCTCCTGTTTGGGCAAAAGCCCTCTTGTGCAAATGCTTTTGCGCAAGAGGGCCAGTGTAGACAACGCGGTATTGTTTTGCGCAAAAAAGCCCTGATCGCGAAAACGGTGATCAGGGCTTTCTTGCGCAAAGCCGCGTCTAGATTGGCACAGACGCTTTTCCGCAAAAAGTGCTTTTGCGGAAAAGCGTCCATGCCAATCTAGACTCTCTTTTCCGCAAATGCTTTTAATGGAAAACTTTTCCGTTAAAAGCATTTGCGGAAAATCATGCCAGTCTAGACGTAGCCATACAATAGAAGATATCCAGCTAAGAAGAAATAAAGCTAATTAATGTACTCTGGAGAAGTACATTGAGAGTGGTTTCCTTCATCATTAACAAAAAGTTGCATTTGTGCAAAAGGGCTTTTTCCCCAAGCGGGAGCAGCATAGTATTTGCGCAAGAACACTGACAATTTTACATTAGATTATCAGTGTTCTTGCGCAAATTCAAGCGGCCAGTGTAGACAGCTGGCAAGTTTTTCCGCAAAAGCAGCTGGTATTGCGGAAAAATTTGCCCGTCTAGATGCAGCCCAAATGTATGAAAAAGCAATTTTCTCAGTGACTAAGTTTATTTAATGAAAAGAAATTAAGTGCAATTCCATACTGTGGTCTTACACTCTCATTGCTGTCGGGCAACAAAAATGCTCTGGAGACAGTAGTCAGCCCCAAGAAGAAGTTTGAGAAAGAAGTCCTGTACAAATACTATGGAGTAGCACTCACTGACTAACGGCATTCTCCCGAATCAAGGAAGAATGTGGAGTGTAGAACTGTGGGAAATGGGGTTGAGAGAGAAGTTTAAATCCTGATATAGTGAGTCTGTTTAAGAATGGAGAAGGAAAGGGGACTGAGTAAGTACAAATTATTTTAAAAAATTCGGAACTATTCCAGCTAGAAGACATGGAAGTTGAAAGAAGAAACAAAAGTACAAATGAACCATTAATTGTATCATTTTCTATTAAACCCCTACAAGACACTTGGGCCCAACTCTGCATTAGCTTCATGTGCACATCACATCCTAAATTTCTTTTCCAGCATTCACTCAAGTTTTCGTCCCAACTTTAAAAGATTTTTCCTTCTTTTTAAAAGGACTCTCCATTCTAACTGCTTCTGATTTGTGTAGTTTTGCAAAGTAAGCTGACCTATGCTTTGCTTGATGTCAATATACAAGTGCTATGTTATTGCTGAAGTTTCAACAACAACAAAATGACAGCTCATGTATACAAATCACAAATACATTTACACAACTTAGGGAAGAAAAGATATGCCAAAGATAGTTAAAACTCTATATATACACACTGAAGCGTACAAATGTAAAATGTCTTGGCCTTCATGAACATTAATGTTTCAAACAGAATTAAGAAGTTGTTGGTACATATTAACTAACAGTAAACAATCTATTATAAAGCTAACAATGCTTTATCATCCTACCTGAAACTGAGCCATTAGTGCCAGTGGATTATTCTGACTGTTATCGAATGTTAAAACATCAAATACTCCAACACAATTCACTCGTAATCTTTAAAACAAAAGAGGAAATTGGGAAGAGATTTGGTAAGATTTTATCTTTGAATAGTTTTTTTTTCCTGATACTTATCGTATAAAATATAGGGTAAGATTTAAAAAAAATTATCTAAGCTCTCCCATTGCCAGTTGACTAAGAATTTTACATATGCTGGAGAGGAAAGCTTTCAAGGTGAGAACTACAGCAAATAGATCTACACGCATGCTGCTTACTTGGTTGTTTTCAGAAGACAAGACAAATCTTTCTAAATTTATAAAAACTTGATTTATAGCTTCGAACTTTTACCAATTCACTAGTCTTGGGACAACATAAAACAATTTAGTCAACGTACTAGGTTGCTTCCCCATATCTGGCATGGGATGTTAAATTGCATGTAATCAGCTAATTGGCTAGTTGATTGAATTCCATTGACTACTCAATTAGTCGATAAGGGGGGGAAACTCCAGAGTCACAGCAGGACCAGGAGCTAATTCCACATGGATCTGCCTTTAACTTTATTTAGAGCCGCTAGGTGCAGCTGGTGGGAGGTGGGGTAGAAGCAGGGGGGTAAGACTGGGAGCGAGCCGGGAATCAGCTGTCCCGGCTCGTGCCCAGCCCTCCCCACCCAACCGCTGAGTCTCTGTTTTTTAAATGTATTAAGAAATGCCAGGCTCTTAATACATTTAAAAAGCAGAGGCACAGCATCTGGGATTGAGTACAAGCCAGGAATCAGCTGATTCCCAGCTGTGCGTGGTCTCAGCTACACCTTTGCCTCCCCTTCCCCTCCCCCCCAGACTGTGCTAGGGGGAACTGGCTTTTAAGCCAGATCCCTGCAGACCCGGCTCCTACTCTCCCTCTTGCTGCTTATCGGATAGTTGACTAGTTACTTACATCCCTAATCTTGCATAGGAATTTGCAACAATAGCTGTTAATAACATTGATCTTACTAGTCAAAAATATAAATTTAAAAAAGCTATTTTCCGTTACCTTGTTTTGCCAGTTATTAGAATCTTTGTTGGATCCATAACTCGACACGCCAATCCTGCTGTATGAATGGTTCTTAAAGCAGAGCTGAGCTGAACAATGTATGCCCAAATAAGAGACTCTGGTAGTAACCCAGCATGCTGCCGGGGCAAAGGACCATCATGCTGACCTAAAAACAAAAATGTCATTGTATCAGTGAACAAACAAAATGCAACTAACTTAAATTTCACATACTGTTCTTGAAGTTAAAGTTCACGTATTCTAAACAACGAACTGAGCAATGTACATCAGTTTCATTCTACTTTTAGACTATGTCTACACTAAGAACTAGAAATAGGATTCCCAACTTGCGTACACACTCCTGCTAGCTCACATCTGAGGTAGCATGCTAAAAATAGTAGTGTAGCTGCTACAGAATGTGCAGTGGCAACACTGTCTAGTTGCCCTGAATACAAATTCACCTAAACCCTGTGGGTACATATTTAAAGCAGCTGGACAATGCTGCCACTTCCCTTGCTACAATGGCTACATGACTATTTTCAGTGTGCTATAGGGATGTTAGAAATAATTTATTTTAGCAATTGTGTAGCTGCAACAATTCTTAGTAATTACAGAGTTACTAAAATGCTTCCTCCCAGGTATGGGGCCAGCAGCCAGCACACTCCTGGCCCCACTCCCTGGAAGCACCCTGCCATCCCACACTGCTGCTTCTGTATCAGAGGCAGCAGCAGCCCCGGAGCTTCTCATGCACAGAGGATGCTCTGTATCAGAAGCAGCAGCAGGGGTGGCAGGTGGCTCTCCTGCATGCTCTTCATTTAAAACTTAGATTGGCAGGTCGGGAACAAACCAGCCTGCCAGTCTGAGTTTTAAATGCAGAGCACACAGGTGTAAGTGCGTACCTTGCACTTTGCTTATCCATTAGTGGTCCCAGTAATCGCTTATCGGTTAAACTGTTAGCCAACTAGCCACTAATATCCGTACTGTGATTAACAAGAATGTATACAGAAAATGGGAATCCCACTTCGAGTGGTCAACACAGATCTTCAAATTAGGGATGTAAAATCCAGTTTAATTAGTTAAATGTAGTGTTAAACTGCTTAACTGTTTTAACGGATTAAATGGGAGAGCAGGTGGCGAGCGTTCCATGTGAGGACCTCCAGGTTGGGGACTGCTTGCTGGGTTCTGGTTAACTATTACCTGGTAAGCTAACAGTGATGTTTACAGGGTAACCAGTTAACTAGTTACCTGTTAACATCCCTATTTCAAATGGTAACAATTCCTTCAATAAATATTACGATTCAAGTTCATGAGAATTAAGTAATTTTAGAAGTTATGATAAAAATTCAGTATGAAGAAATAGGTTTAATACAACTGATTATTGCTGCACCATGATATTCAAAAAGCAGAAACCAAAAATATGACAAAACAAAAAGTATATACTACAATAGCCAGGGCTTGCCAAGCCGCGGCGAGCCCTGCTCGCCAGCTGCGCGCTTCAGCATGCTGTGGCGCAGTCGCGAGTAGATTACCTAAATTGTCGAGCCCTGACAATAGCTACTGTTTATCTGCAATTGGTATCATTTTGTGCTCTAATGCCATATAGGCTATGTCTAGACTGCAGGCTTCTTTCGAAAGATGCTCTTTCGAAAGCATCTTTCGAAAGAGCATCTTTCGAAAGATCGCGTCTAGACTGCAGGCGGATCTTTCGAAAGAAAAATCCGCTTTTTCGAAAGAGAGCACCCAGCGAGTCTGGATGCTCTCTTTCGAAGACGGCCTCTTTACATTGAAGAACGCCTTCCTTCGAAAGAGGAACTTTCGAAGGAAGGCGTTCTTCCTCGTGAAACGAGGTTTACCGCCATCGAAAGAAAAGCCGCGTTCTTTCGAAATAATTTCGAAAGAACGCGGCTTGAGTCTGGACGCAGGGGAAGTTTTTTCGGGAAAAGGCTACTTTTCCCGAAAAAAACCCTGAGTCTGGACACGGCCATAGAGTGTAGAAAGGAGTATATATTAACCCCTCCTTCAATTCCAACATGTACAGACATGAAATACGAAACAAATTAATTTCAAATTCCATTAGGGAAATTAGAATAAAAGATTGTATGGTTCAACATAATTGAAATGCTGAGTCTTATTACCCCAGATTGCATGTTTCGTTATGACCCAAGTCACTACTAATTCAGTCACCACCACAGCATTAGTGTTCATATCTCATAGGCTCTTTCTGGGCAACATTGAACCATGTGTATGAGAACTGCACTTTTTTTGTGGATTTTAGTGGTAGATTTTAATGGCCGATCTAATATAATGACTGGAAATGGGAAGACCGATTTTTTTGGAGAGAGGGATGGGTTGTTAATACTGAAGAGACTCAGCAACAGCACCATGTGCTTATAGCTTTAGTTTGTGTAGCATGAAGAAGGGCTACAGAGCTACAAAGGAAACAGTGCTTCTAGGAATACTAGAACTAAATTTGATTGCAAATAAGATTAGCTCTCTTCAGATGTTTCACTGGGCCACATTAGTGCTTGTTTTGTGAATATCAGGATCATCAATGTGGCTCCTCTTAGTAATGCCCTAAATGTAACAGTGTTCTTACATAAGTGTGCCTTGTACACTGCAAGATTACAAATATCTTCATTCCTTTCCATTTAAAGGTCAGTTTGTTAGTTTTCCCCCAGAAACGTATCAAAACTTCTGGAAAACTGCTCAAGACTGTCATTAAAAAGTAAATCACATCACTGTAGATCAGGCATGGCCGAAGGGCCACATCTGGGACTGGAAATTGAGGCGGGCCATGAATGCTAATGGCAAGCTCCTGACGCCCAGCTGGGGTGTGGCAATGGAATCTGAAGTCCAGAAAGGGCTGGATATGGCTTGCAGGCTGTAGTTTGCCAATTCCAGTTAACATTTTACTATTTGGGGGGGATGTGGGAAGGCCAGTGGGATATATGAATGCTTCTTGCTTTCATTTCTGTTAACATCTTTATCTTTAGTTCGCTTTTGGTGCCGTGGGTTCCTTTCGTTCATATTTTGAAGGACAAGACACTTCCTCCTTTAGCCCACAGAACTTTGGCATGCCACGCAGAGGCTCACAATGATTTAATTTTAGATTTATTGTCTTGTTGATGAATCAGTATGTGAATCATCTACCACAAACTCGTTTACACCAGTAGTCTCACTCTGCAAACATTTAAAAAATATTCCCTGTTCATCATTCTATCTATTACTGTTTCATGTCAGGGTGACAGGATGTTACGTTATTGGGCAAAGGACACTGACATTCATAGGCAATTTATTTAATCTTTTATTCTTTTGCATATTGTGGCAAATGATTCTTTTAAGACAGTTGAGTATTACATCTGTTTAAAAAACAAACACTAGAATCAGACAATTATTGTTATACCCAAAGGGAAAAGAGCCAACTGCTCATCTCATTTGAGAACTGTAATTGTTTGTTATTTGTATTACCATGACACCTAGGAGTCCTAGACATAGGCCAGAACACCATTATGTGAGGTGCTGTACAGAATGATTCTTTTAAGACAGTTGAGTATTACATCTGTTTAAAAAACAAACACTAGAATCAGACAATTATTGTTATACCCAAAGGGAAAAGAGCCAACTGCTCATCTCATTTGAGAACTGTAATTGTTTGTTATTTGTATTACCATGACACCTAGGAGTCCTAGACATAGGCCAGAACACCATTATGTGAGGTGCTGTACAGAAACAAAACTTACAATCTAAGTACAGGTTGGGCCTCTGTGGTTGGCACCTTCGGGACATGACTGATCCCGGATGAGGGATTTTTCCAAATCAGGTGAAGTCATTTCAGGCCCCCTGCTGCTGGTAGGTTTCCTGGCTCTCCACCTCTAACTCATGCGAGCTGCACACTGGCTCCTGGCACACCCCTCCGCCCCCTCACAACCCAGCTGAGCTGTGTGCTGGCTCCTGGCATCCTCTCCCAACCCACAGCCCAGGTGAGCCGTGAGCCAGCTCCTGGCTCCCCCCATCACAGCTCAGATGAGTTTCATGCCAACTCCCAGTCCTCTGCCCACCTGCAGTGTGCTGGAACTCTGATCCTGGAACATCCGAGGTCATGGCAGACCTCAGATGTTGCTGGACCAGAGAATCCCTGATTTTAGAGGTGCAACCTGTATCACAATGGGAGCAATATTTGCCTTTTGATACTCAAGTAGAAAACATTGATGAAAGAGCTCAGCATATGTTGAACATAGGTAAACAGGATCAAGGAACTAAATATAAATATTCAACTAAAATACCAACTTTATTTCTTCATTATAAAGCTGGAGTTTTCAGTGCCAGCTAGGTAGACGCACAAAAAAGGATCAGGAACTGCTTTTTTAAAATTTGGTAGGGGAAACGAGCAGTGTGTAAGAGATCTAAAGTAGACCAAGACAAACTCAATGCTACATTGATCACTCAGACTATTTATAACAATCATTTCTCCTTCCCTGACAAGACAGACTACAGAGAAAACAGCACTAAATGTTATTCTGAGTATTTAGTTTTAATCTATTAGAATACTGTGAGAAATGAGAAGTCATGGCTTATTTATATTTATATTAATGAATGCAATGCAAATTAGTTGAAACAGATCCCTGGAAAATTCCCAACACAGCTCTCATTACTATAACAGTTGTACAACAATTGAGCATAAAAGCCCTGTAGAGTTTAAATTGCAAATGCATGAATCAAGGAAGACAGCCCCTGCACCAGAATACTCAAGCTAGATGACAGACAGGCGATATCTCCACTGCAACATTAATCCAGTCTTTTATTTGAGCCTTGTCCCTACCCCAACCACCTACCACACAAAAACTTCTAACCAAACTCTGGAAATGTTTTCAACCCATACTAGCTGGCTTTTTCTGGGGCTATAAAATAAAAACACAGTGTTACTTTTATTGGGCTGGTAACCTGCTCACATTGCAGTCATAACACACATTAACCCATTCTGCTGGCGGGCCTCCAATTCTTTCCCACAATTCTTTCTAAGTGCAGAGAAAGACTGATATGTTATCCCACAATTCACTGGAAAAGAATTAGAGCGGCTTGGCTTTCTGAAGTGCTAACAATAGGATATGTCCCCAGAAGACCTAGCACCTTACATGAGTAGGTGATGCTGCCAGACCAGGTGCTAGCTCATGCCAAGGCCCGAGGTCCCACTGAACATTTACAAATGCATCGTTGGAAGCCACTCTCGAAATAGATTACATTCTGGAGAATTAGTCAGAGGCAGTGATGGGAAAAAACATGGATTCAGTTCATATTATGAGTGTGTCTTTTTGCTAAAAAAGGGCTGTTTGCAGGAAAGTAATCTGCAGCACGAAAAATATATGCTCAGTGACTTTGGAGCGGTTTGTTAATAAGTATGGATAAACCAGAATTTTTTAATGCATTGACTGAAGATATATATAGAAGGCTTTCTTTTTTTCTTTCAAATCGGAGACATATTGATTTGGGATAATTGACTGGAAAGAAACACCATCCAACAAAGCCAAAAATATACTTCTAATATTGCCAGTGTTTACTTTAGGAAATAATTTAAAATGTATAATTTTGGTGTACAGTAGTTTATTATTTACAATTTGATACTTAATTTATATTAATTGATTATAATTTATTCAGGCAGAGTAATAGTTCTAAATACTTTTAAAGCCAGGTTCCTATAGTAAGAGGAATTTCAGCTGGTTTTAAAAAAAGATGTGTGACATTGTCATGTTTTGTAATATTTCAATATACTCAGTTATATCACATTAAAATATGATCTACCAGAAACTCCATAACAATACATATTTTACAGAAAGATGACAAACTCCCTTCTTGGGAATGAAAACTGATAGACAAAACAAGCAGCAGGACTCAAAAAAACTGGAATTGCATATATTATTTATTCTAAACCACAGAATGGTTCATCTTTAGAAAAATGTACACGCTTCACTTTAAATCTTAATTCACACTGTAAAATATAACTCCAACATTGGATTATCACAGTATACAACCAGAAACAGAAGATATTTTATGGAATAAGACTGGACAAGGAAGGAATTTTTAAAATTAGGAAACAGTAAGTACAGGTGGCTCAGTACAAAAATAAACCATGGTTGTTAAATCTTTTTTCATCTGTCACGAGAATGCTTTACACCACATCCCTTACAAAAAAATTCTGGAACAGCCTTTGCAGATGACATGGCAAAATAAAAAAAAAAAAAAAAAAGACTGACCACACTGTCACCAGAAAGTAACATGTGAAACAGCTATGTAACCACAATTCTTTTCATTTAACTGTCAAAAACTAGCTTTGCTAACTGATATGCAATCTTACTTGTCTGTATGTTTTCTGAAACCAAGTTCTCTTAAATCATTATTTCCACAAATTCACACCAAGTTGGGCATCACAGGGTGTGTCTAAACTACATGGCTCCATTGATGGAGCCATGTAGATTTGTTTGTTCGGCAAAGGGAAATGAAGCCGCGATTTAAATAATCGCGGCTTCATTTAAATTTAAATTTAAATGAAGTCGCGATTATTTAAATCGCGGCTTCATTTCCCTTTGCCGATCAGCCTAATCTACATGGCTCCATCAATGGAGCCATGTAGTTTAGACACACCCACACTGTGGGGATTCTAAACCTTTAAATGCAATAGCACATTTCAGAGCCTCATATGGCAGAATGCTCTTTGGGCATTTATAGAAAGGAAATCTCAACATCCTTATACCCTGCTTCTCTTGGGAGTCCCTTTCAGGCAGGAAAACAGACAAGAAACTCTAATGAGGGATGGAAGAGGAATCTGTGAAGGTAGTCAAGTCTGAGAATTCAAGTTATAGGCACACAATCTTATTTTGTCTCTCAAATTGTTCATTCTATTGATGACTACTCTTGTAGACTAGAAAGCAATAAATTCAAAGATGGACCGTAAGAAATATCTGAAGGCCCCCCCTGGGGAAAAATGGCCATTATCTGACTAGCCTCATTTAAGCAACACCAAACTCTGTGTTTGCATGAAGTGGTTGTTCTGAAGAGTTCAATAATAAAGACTAGAAGCCACAGGTACTACAAGCTGTTCTAGCTGGAGTGGAATTAATTTAAATAACTTCTTGAAAAACAACTTCAGGAAGATATTTAAATTGTTACAATAAAAATCTATATAATTATACGTAACAGCCAGTTTCTGGGGTTTTTTTTCTTTTTAAAAGAGTGATAAATCCCTTCGTGTTTCAAGAGTCTCATCCATAGCTATGCTATGGTGTATAATACTTAGAGAAGTAGATCAAGGGGGAAAAACATGACAAGGATAGATTTAAATGTTAATAGAAAAAAATAACAATAATTCCATGTTTATTCTCTTTATTAAGTTCGTTTTGTTTATGATTACACCTTTTCTTAACTGCTAAGTCTTCAAACTTGTCATGAATCTGAATATCAAGGTGAGTTCTTTTCCTTCGGCACAAATCAGTAGTCAAGATAATTCTGCAAGTCAAGTTTTAGTTTCATACCTGACAACTGTATGAAAAGATAATGGGGACTATTTGGTGATAGTTTTGAATTGCATCTTTTAAAGGCTTGCAGCTTTCCATAAACTGAAGATCCTTGAGGTCCTGATTTAGACAACCAAGTCAAATTTAAAATATAAATATTTTAAATGAATTAAAAAGCCCAAAACTAGTGGTTCCAGTTTCAACATGCAGAGATGTTAAAAGATCAGTGTTGGGAAGAGTGTGTGTTTATTTACAGAATTGCTTTCAGAACACATTAGTGTCCACTTTGAGTTATACAATCATTAACTACTGACTTTTATTCTAAAAATTAAGGTTCTGTGACATGGCTTGCAATTCTCAGAATGTGGATCTGTAGATACAGTATGAAGGAATAAAGTATTTAGGAATATAAAATATGCAGAGATTTTAAATTTGTTTTGTGTTCTTACTAACTATAGTTTTACCTTTTCAAAACACATGCAGATATTAGTACCTAATTAGTCCTCATAACATTTGTGTGAGCAAGTGAAATCCCCATTTTACCAACTGGGACCACTCAAATACAGAGACTAAAGGGGAGATTTTTCAAATACACAATGGCACAATGACTTTTAATTGTCAGCTAATTTGTTGTTTGTGCCTTTGAAAATCCTGCATGTAACATGCCAAATGTCACTCAATGACAGAGTTGGGACTAGAGCTCAGGAGAGGCTGACTCCCAAACATAGAATCATAGGGCTGGAAGAAACCTCAGGCAGTCATTGAGTCCAAACCGCTGCTAAAAGTAGTGCTGATCACATGTTCAATCTAGTAGAACTGCCAAAAAGTTGCATGTGCCTTTTCTGCTGGTGTAAAGTCAGAAGTTGTAAGAAATTAGGAAAATCATCATTGTTCAATTGGTTCAGCCTACTTTTTAAAACACAACCAATACATTTCTTTTCATGTAACACAGTGTACTTGGAACTTTATTTTCCTTTTTGATTTCTAGAGGTAACAACCCCTGTCCTGTAGTACCTTCAATATACCTAACATCTGACTAACAAAAATTATGAAGCTGAGGCCAAATAATTTTACAACCAAGATATCTGAAATAGTTTCTAAAGTGGCAGTTGAATGCATTTTCCTTACCCCATTTCCTTTTAGAGAAATAGGCATCTGCACTAGGGTCATTAAAGTGTCTGCTCATCATAGTCTCTCCTCCAGCATGAAAATCGTATGCAAACACAAGAGCTAAAAATAAAAAAAAACATAAGTGACAATAAATTAACAACTCTAATACAGGGTTTCTCAGCCCACAGTTCATGACCAAAAGCAGGTTGCCAGAATGTAGCAAAGAGTTGTGGGGCTGGCTGAATTCAGCTCAACACTCTGGACATTGTGATCTGGTACATGGGGCGCAGAGCTGCTCAATTTGGCTCAGCAGCCATGTTGTCATAATGATGGAAAGCCAGCAAGGCCAGATTTGAAGGTGTGGTGGCTGACACTCCATGTACTAGGCCACATGCCCATCATACAAATTTGTTCAAATTGCCCCTCCCAGACCAAATATAAAAGGTACTATGGCTCCAGCACTCTTATTGCCTGGAGTAGAGAGCAGCGCCTAGCCAGATGTGTGAGACAGGATTTGTGAGGGAGTGGCAGGCATAACATTCTCTGGTAATGACTGTCCCCATGATATACTCCCCACCCAACAGGAAGGTGATGCCCCATCTTATATATTTCTTCCTGCCCCTCACCCCCACCGCACTTTTACCTTCTACCCACCATGGGCCATATATGGACACTGTCTCCCCTGTGCCCCTCTGTCTTCATATCTTCCTTCCATCTGCCACTGCACCCCCATACCCTTCCGCCTCCTCAGTTCCTGCAAATCCCCAACCCCTTCTTCACTACACCTCCAAATCCCACTCCTACCCTATGTCCTCTGACGCTGGGAGGGCTTTATTTGGAGGTGTCAGCTTATTGTTCCATTGGGGGTGGGTCACATTTGGCTAGAGCATCTGGAATTTTAGCTCTGAGTCCCCACTCCCACCAGTGCACCCAGGTACAGGGTTGTCATTGGGTCAGGGGGAGACTTGGGGGATCTGTGTGTCATGACATGCTATCAAGGTTTACAAAAGGGTACTCAGTCCAAAGAGGTGAGAACCTCTGCTCTAAAATCTTCAGAGTTATCTCAAATGTTCAATCTCTGGAAACTTACAATGTTCTCCAAATGCTTTAGTGGTAAATACTTCACGCAGAGTTACAATGTTTGAGTGCTGAATTTTTTTCCACATGTCAACCAATACCATGCACTTTGTGTTAACAAGACGAAAACCTGAGAACAGAATAAAACCCACAGAGTTTAGTTACATTTATTCAGTGATTTTAGGATCCATTAGATTTTTTTAAGACACTTTGGTATCTGTTCTGAAAGTACTGAGCTGCCACCAACAGAGGCACACCAATATAAAACTTTGATTGCTCATTTCCAACACTATGGACTGTGATCTAGGCCAAACTCTGCTCTCTTATTCCAACAGAATGGTTAATTTCAAAGCCAATTTAAGATTTATGCGTAGTATTATAGAAGGGCAAATGTTTTAGGCTTAAGTATAGGTAGCAATGAAGTTTAAAAAGATGACAACTTATGATTTCCCTCACCATGTATCCTCCGAAGGCAATATGGCAGATCATCTTTGCTATTTACAGCTTTGTAGCATGATGTAATGTACCCAAAGTTGCTTGTTTTCTGTATCCGATTGGGTGGTGGCAGTGGTTCTAAAGGGAAAAGGCTGTGGTAGCTGTCAACTTCTGTAGGGACTGCTAAAGCAGTTTATAGAAATATATTAGACACTAATTGCATTTGTAAAATCAATATTACAATAGTAAAGAAAATCTGACCAAGATATTAAGATGTCAAACAATACTTTGCGTTGTGTCTTAGATACATGCAACAAAAAGTTAAAATTAATAATTCTATCTGGCACAAATATGGTTTCCTGAGAGATATTTTTGGATAACAGATATCTGCTTTCTGAAAAATAGTCTTGTCATACTAAAAATACACATGAGAAGTAAAAACTGTGCATGAGGAAGCACCAGCTTCATTCTAACATAAAACCAATTCCTCCGTGATTATTGGGGAGCAGTACATTGGCAGCTGCCCAACAAATTGCCATCATCTTTTGGTCTGCCTCAAAAATTTAAAGTTTCTTGTAGCTACTAAGGATGAAGATATGAAGGGGCATGGATGATCCTCAGCACACACATGAGCCTTGTGAATATGAATCCCCAGTCAACTCTTGAATTCTATTATGAGAGCAGCAGAGAATAGCAAAGACAGACACTGTTAGTGTTCAGAATGAATACACTATTTTGTTTGGAGAGTGGGAGAACTGGACAGATTAGAAGACATTTCCAGACTAGGAAATTAAGCTGTGTTTTACAATCTCTCATTCAAGGTGCCAACACTTGGATTTTAGTCACAACTTTATATTGTTTGCCCTGTCTGAGTGTAAAAATAATGTTAGCTGATTGTGGACAATTGTAAGTTCTCCAAAAGATTGACCATGATGAGCAACTACATTTTTAAACACAACTTCCCCAATCTACACAAGGTGCAAAGTCTGCCTAAAATCATGTTAGTTAGCATTTTAAAACACAAACTAGCTTTCTAGTCTAGACAGAGTCTTCAAAAACAATCTTCTAAATATAAACTCACATGTATGAAGTTCTCTCTATGGGGAAAGTTAGTGAGTGGCAAACCAGGATGTGAACATTTAGCATACAAGATTGCTGAGCACTAAGTGGCCATACGGACCCTTCTATCATGCACTAAAAGTTCTGAAGTGAGCGGTTTCAAATGGCAGCATGTCAAAATGCACTATGAATCTTTACTCTAAAGTAGCATGATACAAACATGCAGTTAGTGTGGGGCAAACTAATATGCTATAGATTTACATCCTGGCTTGCTGTGCAATAAGTCCCCATGTAGATAAGCCCTAACTAGAAAAGACACTGAGTTTAAACAAGGTTTTACCCCCTCAACCAATCGTCCCTTGTTTAAATCATTTAGTGAAGTCAATCCTGAATCTTGGGCAATCCTATATGCATGAAAAAAGAAGAAAAAAAAAAAAAGAAAAGGACAGGAGAACAGGTTGATGGACTTCACAAGCATGGACGACCATTAAGATCAAGCAGAAGTTGGAGGGTGTGTGCGCGCGCTAGAAAGAAAGTTCTTGTAAAAAAAAAAAAATAAATAAAAAAAATAAAAAGTACACCTTTGAGTAGTAAAAAATATTATAGTTGTTGGTTGAATGCCTTTGTTCAGGAAGAATTGCTCTAAGGTGATCCCATGCAAAAAGTTACTCTAAAGCAAGTGGTTTTTAACCTGGGGTGCACGCACCACCTGGGGGTACGAGACATGCCGGATTTTTATGATATATCTTAGGTTTAAAGAAGTGACCTACTTCAATGATTTTTAATAAGGGGTGCGAGAACGTATTTTGAGAACCAAAGGGGTTCAGGCTGCAGTAAGGTTAAGAACCACTGCTCTAAAGTATCACAATTAAAGCTTATTACTAAATCTGTGGAGTTTTTAATTGTTTCTCCTTGTTAAAACGTTTCCTTGTTCTGATTTTATCTAGCTAAGTTCCTCGAATAGTTCATCTATTTGTTGGCAATTAAGTGGCACCCTAAATATTACTTCATCCAATGCCTGTTAAAATATCCTAACACAAGGAAAAGGTTGCAGAAGAACCCTCCCCATCAGCGTAGGTAATGTCTACACTGAAGTGTTGCAGCTGTGCCACTGTAGCATTTTAAGTATAGACATATTCACGGTACCCAAATCTGAAGCCTAGAAATGTAGTCAAGTTGATGGGCTTAGAATCTCTTCTCCTGATAACTTGCATATATATTCATTTTTGAAAAAGTAGGGTTTAGCTGCTGTAATCACACAATAGAATGTGTGAAGGTAAACCCTTCTTAGAGTCAAACATGCCACTAACTAGATACAAAAAAATCAATTACAATGTAGATTACGGACAGAATCTAAAAGTGAATTTTGCTCAGTGAAGTTAAGGACTGCTTAGTTTTTATGCACACAAAAATGGTGTTAAACAGAAAACCCAACATAGTTCAGCTAAATAATTTTAAAATGAGAAGAAAATATGCAGAAGAAACAGTGAACAGCAGAGACCTCATGTTCATAAAGAGCTTTGAAGGGGCAAAATATTAAAACAATGACATCTGTTATTAACAGCTCTAGTATAATCAGACCAAGTTTTACAATTTATAAATTAAAGTCAGGAACAGTTTTGCTAAAATATGCTGTTAATATATATTTATTTATTTAACAAAGCTAGTAGTGCTATACAATTGAGAGAGCAAGCAAGCCTTAGCTTAGAATAACCACAGAAGATTTTGACTGACTTTCTAGTTACTTACCAGGGACATCTGCTTGATCAATCTGAGCCATTGTTATTAAATGTCTGTTGATCAGCTCCTGGGGAACAAATTATGTAGCCTTACAGAACAGAACAGAGTTTAGTTGATTATCTCTACTAAATTGAGAGCATAATATCTAGAATGTGCCAAGTTTCTATACTGGAATAACTAGCAGACTCTTTAGCAGCTTAGAAAAGTTAGGGATTGAATCTTAGATAAATCGTGCACCAAAGGGAGGCTACCTCCGAACTACCGTCTCTAATTGGAAGGAGGTTGCAGTGGAGACTTTTTTGGTTTTGCATTTTAAAAAGAAACATCAGGTGGAAGAAAGAGCTGTAAAATAAGCCTGGATAAGGCAGATGTTGGAAACAGGCATGATACTAAGCAACACAATAGCAGGTCAGAGGAACTCCATGGGTATTCAGCATCCTACTCCAAAAGACTAGTAATTATGCTGAAAAATGTTGAAGATATTAACTTCACACTCATCTTCATAATGCTTTTAAATGTATCAGAGAAATAGAACTATATACTCTATTAAAAATCCACATAAGTGAACATTTTCTTGATTATACTTCCATTTCAGTTAGCTGTACTCTAATTAAAATAAAATCCAAATGCCACACAAAATGTTTAGCATATGTAGAAATTCCAAAGGTTTACAATAATGTATTTCTCTTCAAGTAACGTTCTTGATTAAAATATATATGGCACTGCAGAAGGTATTAATTATAAGTACTATGATTTTGTTTTCTGTGATACTTCTATTTTGTCATGTTTTTTATGTCTGAAATGAAGAAAACTGCCTCAGTGGTTTTAAAGTGTCTATTTCCCTTTTGTTGTTTGTGGTTGCCAAACTTTATGAATATATGAAGGTATTTTAATCATTTCTACATTAATACTTAAGACAGCTTACCTGTCTGAGTTCATCTGCCATGAAGAAGGAGGGTGCATTTGCTTTTGGCTGCATATAAGCAACATGAGGTGCAGTTGGAGGGTAAATGTGATAGTTTGGAAATACCTAAGGGGAAAAAAATATTTTCTTTAAAATTTGGGAAATGGACCTGATTTTGATAGGCTTTGAGCATTTTTTGACCTGCTGACTTAACAAAATTCTCAAAATGGTACATATGCTATTAATGTCCTTCCTGAATTCTCTAATGTGGTGATTGCAACCAATGTAACTTTAAATGATTTTTATATCATATAATGCTAACTGCCCTTCTTTCCCATCTATAAATTCAAGTTTCTGTTAATTTTGCAGAAGTGAGCGATGATTATTCTGGTCAGCTAGTCAGACAATATAATGTTTGAGTTGACAATACCCTTTTAATTAACCATATTTCCTTACAATTCCCCTACTTAGTTACAACTAGAAATTTCATTAAGAAGATTCTGTACATACAACAGACCAGACTCAGTAAAACAAAACAACCACAATTCTGAGTTGTCACCCGAACACTTCCTCTCTAGTCAACCTTTTATTAGAATTCTGTACAAAATAGCAAGTTCTAATTATGCAACTATTTAAGGTCTTATATAATCACCCCACCCATCATTACCACATTTTAGCATCTGCATCATAGGCAACTCCATCCAATAACCTATTCCTAGGTTCAATTCTCAACAAGTCCTAAAATGCCACCATTTTTGTTGGAGGTGATAGTGGCAGGGGATGGGAGGGAGAGGAACAAACACATTCTGCACAGATGTGCAGAAACAGAGGAGTCAAACAGGAAAGAAAAAAACCTGCCCCATATTGCTCTCCAATCACTTGAGTAAATACTACTCAAAATTAAGTACTGGCAAGAGAAAGTGTCCAGGTAACAGCTTCGGTACCAAGTTTCAACAGAATACAAGTTAGGAGTAAGATTAAACATCGCTCAAACATCTTCATTTTTCAAAGATGTTTTGCCTCTACCATAGCATTTATGGAAGTATCAAAACCACACATACCATTCCTGTGACAGGGGCTGGAGTTGTATCAGTGTAGAAATATGTTGTTCCACCCACAGTTTCCTTCTGAATCACCTGGCCAGTTGATGGAGGCTGGGAGACAGCATTAGTAACAGGAGTAGAGGCACTAGTAGGCACCATATAATTTGCTGGGTTTGGAGTATGACTTCTTCTTCTAGGAGCAGGAGATGTGTGAGGGGTAATTTTAGGGGAGTGAAGAGGAGAAGATCCTGCAGACAGTGACATTCCTTAAGACAAAAGAAAATGTTCTTTAATACATTTTTGCTTTTGTGAAAATGTAAAGAAACTCAAGGTTTGAGAAACCTACCTCATCTATTTCCTCAAGGAGAAATTAAATTTAGGTAGGTGAGATGGGCCAGGAAGCTGCAGGTTCTTCTGCAGGAAGGCAGAGTGCAGAAATACTTAAACACCACTGTTTCTTTATGAAGCATTAAAGGGGACAAAGTTGCAGTACAGCTGGAGAAGACGCATTTTTCCCAGAAAGAGGGCAGACAAATTCTTTACATCTTTTTAAAAGGGGAGCAGGAAGAAGTTGTGGAGGGGGACTGGAGAATGTGTGGCCTAGATGATGGAGGAAGAGGAGGAGGAGGAGGCGGAATTAAGACGGGACACAAAATACAAAGTGTCAAGAGGGAGATGGGATAGAAAGCAGAGGACTCTTGCAAAAAGAATAACTAAATTATTAGCATTCTTGTTAGTTGTGTTCAGATACTGTAATACCAGAAATTAAAATGTCTCTATATAGATTGACTGCCTTGTATAAAAATGTGTTAAGTAAACAGTCAGGAAAGGTTTTGGTTTTTTTCCAATTTAAAGCAGTATTAAGAAATTTATATTTCTGATTATTTATAGATGCTTATTAATTACATAATAGGACTAAAAATTCCATTAAAAAAGTTATTCCTTTTTCTAAAGGTGACCTATTGTTGACCAGAAAATTACTCTCATAAAAATGGATATACTAACTCTTCCCAGTTTGAGGAGAACTAGTATAGAGTTGGGCTGACATTTTCAAAGCTGCCAAGGGACCTGAATGCCCACTATACATCAAAATCCATGGCAAATGGATGTCCAAATCCCACAGACAACTTCAGAGCATCAGGGCAGATGAACAATTGAGCACTGACAGACAGGGGAACCCTGTGTAACATTCATGCTTTATTGAGCCACTTACCACCACCTGCAATATTCTTTAATGAGATTAGACATATGAACATTCCCTGTCCCTAAATATTCTTAAATTCATTAGCAGCCTAAAAAATAATTCAAAATTAGTTTGGCATTTTTAAAAAACAACTTCAGAAGTTTATTCTATTGACCTCAACTACCTCATTTATGAGATAGCTCTTGGAATTACAGATAGAGCATGTAGATCTGGGTGAACAGGTTAAATGCAAGAAAGTTTGCTATTGTAGTCTCCTTTAACATGTCCCCACAGGAAATAATTTAAACATTTCCTAATGAGACTAAAGTAAGCCTTTCCAGAATTAAAATTCCTCTCTCTAAAATTGTACCACAGCATAGCCTATTTACCAATCAATATGACAAGCTAAAAAAGTGAATATAGATTCTACCATGTAAAATATAGTATCCAAGCCAATAGCTATGAAATACATTAATGGATACAAATGCAACTTTTGGTGACTTTCTGATAAAAAGACAGATTATGTTATGTGGTGCAACAATGTAAAATTTTTCAGTTTTTGAATACAGCTAAAATTTCATCTGAAATAAGTATATTCTTATGCTACTATTAAAGCCATTTGCTTAATTTTCACTCTAACTTTAGCAAAGAATTTTTAGACATGCCAAAAGACACGTCAAAAGACACGCATGGTAAATTAACAGGTCTTCGGTAAACAAAACTGGAAGATTGCTTCAGAAAAGATTGACATTTCTCCTATCTTTTACAGAAACTCTGAAACATTCTTGCAACACTGTCAAAGTCCAAAACATATTTTTATCTCTAATATGTCTTTTTACATATTTTTTCCTACACTGCTGAAGTCCAACAGTTCATAGTTCTTAGGATTTTAAATACAATTATGAAAAGAAAAATGCAATATGATCCATGCTAGACTTCCAGCATAGCAGCTTGCTTTGTGGCAATACATAGGTTTTTTTTTTTTTAATAGAATCTAAACTGAAAATTAGAAATAGTACTTCTGAAATACTCGATTCAGAATGGCTAAATTTAATACTTTGAAGCATTCCTCAGAGGAGCTATATGAAACCTTCCATAGAGTTCTGATCTTTTTTTTTTTTTTTTTTTTTTTTTGGCCCTTCTGAAAGATTTCAAAACAGAAGGAATAAATAAACTCTGCCTAAATTGTTCTAGCTTTTTCCAGAATGTGTCAGGTGTGATCACAATTCAACTAACTCTTCCAACACAAAGTGTTATATTATGAAGTTAACACCCATATTTGTGCTGCAAAGAAACAGAAGACTCCCCCATTAAAAAAAACCCAACATCTACTAATAGTCTAGAGTGGTTAAACAATTGCTTCATAGCCTATTAAAAGACTATAATTTTCATGAGAACATATATGAAAATTCTGTAATTTTTTTACACTTTAACGTGGAAAGGAGATAATGATTTCATAGGAAACAATATATAAAATTCAATAAGGAAGGAAAGCTGAAGCCAATTAAATAATGGCCTACAAAATCAAATGAATTGAATACAATTGGAATCCTCTACATAATTCTTTAAACCAGGAAAAGAGTGAGGCTATGTCTTCATGTGGGGGAAGTTCGATGTTGCCATGATTAATCTTCCAGAGTTTGATTTAGCAGCTCTTGTAAAGACCCGCTAAATTGAACTCAGAGGGCGCCACTATTGGTGGACTTTATTCCTGTTTCCATAAGAAGTAAGGGAAGCTGCCGGGGGGGTTGGGAAGTTTTGTCTCCTGCTATGCAATTAACGTAGCTGTAGTTGCATATCTTAATTTGACCTTCCCCTTTAGTGTAGGCATGGCCTGGTGTCTTTTCTATCCCATTTCAATTATTTTATGCCACAAAAAGTTAGATACTTTATTACTGAGAGATCTAAAAACTATACCAAAGTAATTACTTCAAAGAGTTTATTGAAAAAGAACTGAATTAAAGAGTGCAACTGTAGCGACTGGAAAAGCAGTAGCTGCCACTTATTGGAATAATGTCTAAGACTGCTTTATGTGGTGAAGTTGAATATAGACTGTCTGAAAATAGCAAAAAAGGTTATAGTGTACTATATATCTTGTTGGTTTTCGTATTAATAAAGCTCAGGGTCAGTGTTAGTATGCTTTGAACATCTGTTGAAGGTTTCTCAAAACTACTCTCATGGGGCCAATAAAATAATGTAGCCAGCTGCAGTTACAGGTATACTCTCATCAATTTTGCAATGTTAACAAGATATATTTCCATTTGCAGTAGTCAAATTACTACCTCTACATTTAAGAAAATTATGCTTGTTTAGTAAAGCAAAAGAGGAGGGGAAGGGAAACAAGAGAAAGGGAAGAATATCATTATACACTTTTGCATGTTGTATTATGCTTACCAGTCAACATTTCAAATGCACATGAAGTTCAGTACTGCACTTAGGTTTCATGGGTTTGGGCAGATCTTGAAAATTTTCTGACAGCTTGAAGAAATAACTGGTGGTCAGAGTATCCAGGCTGGAAACTAGACTCACGGAAACACTTGGATATTAAGCCCCCTTGACCAAGTGGTAAGTCTATTTTACCAATGCACATATTGAATGAAAGATTAGAGGGATGGAGAGAGGCAGGGGTGTGGGTGTGTTTTAATCAGTTTCTTTTTATCCTGCCAGAACAACAGACCTTTTTGTTGAAAGAAACTTGTAACTTTCTCTTTGTTTTGGGAGTGATTCTAGTAGTTTGGGAGTGTCAAACATCCATCATGTTTGATGGATTTATAAACACCTGCTTTGCAAATTCCATGTTTTACATCTAAACTTTCATTAAAAATGTTTCCAGCCTTCATGGTAGCAAAGATCTTCCCAACACAAACAATGCAACTGATGCAGTGCTGTCAATGTGTTTGAAGACTGTTTGAAACTAAGACTCAGAGGTATGAGCTCCTTCCCCCATCCATAATTTCATTGAGTTTAAAAAAAAAAAAAAGATATCAATTAATGATAATGGAAATTAGGGTGGAAATAAAGCTCATTGGGAAAAAGCAGACACAGAAGTACTGCAAGAAAGAAAATGTGGAGGTAAGAAAACAGTGAAACAGAAAAATGGACAGAGGAAAAACTAATAAACACAAAAAATTAGTGGTTTTAAGTTTAGCATATTTTCCCATCGACTGATACTGAATGCGACATTAAAGGCACTGAATAAGCAATAAGCAGAAAGACTTTGGAGGTCCTGCTCCCATAAATAGACCCACTGGCTTCAATACACCTATTTCCAGGGTAAGTGCTCATCCATGTGAGTAGGGGGTTTCATAGTCTATAAATGTTTCATTAGGGCAGTGTTTCTCAAACTGTGCTCCGCGAGACATCTCCAGGGGTACCACGAGGTTGACAAACTGGAAATATCAATAAGTACAACACATACAATCAATGGACCACTGGGGTGCCGCATAAATTTTTATGTGTGTAAAGGGCTCCGGAGCCCAAAAAGTTTGAGAACCGCTGCATTAGTGCATAAATGCCATTTTCTGCCCCAATCTGTATACAAATCTGCCACTGACCATAGCAAGAAAATAGTAAAGCTACTTATCTTCTCAATGGGAGAGTTTAAAGATCTAAGTCCTGTGAATGATTAACTGGTAGTAAGAGAACCAAGATACAAGCTTTGATGAAGCTGCTGTCAAGCTGTCTTTCATCCTCAGTGGGGAAAACAGATCTTATCTGATAATGAAGAAAGCTGGAGAAAAAGCTTCCCATTTGTATCTCTATCCCTATCATTATGCTCTATTATCGTCTTGCACAACATATTCATATGAATCAATTGGGTTTTCTGGTGTGGTAAACCATAAGCGAGAAAGAACTTCTCTTCATTATCATCAGTGACATTTGACTAAATACTATATTATCAGTGTATGCTTTGCTAACCTACACATTTTGGTACAACTGAAAGATTTCAGAATACATCGACTAATGCAAACTGATCAGTGGACCACTGGAAGTCTGCTAAAAGCTGACTGGTCACATAGTACTACTAGCCGTCCCCCTTATTTCCAGCTGCTAAATCACTTTCCCAGATTCTAAGTACAGTAT